CCGTGGGCAAACTACGGCCCTCGGGCCAGATCCGGCCCGTTTGAAATGAATAAAACTAAAAAAAAAAGAAAAAGACCGTACCCTTTTATGTAATGATGTTTACTTTGAATTTATATTAGTTCACACAAACACTCCATCCATGCTTTTGTTCCGGCCCTCTGGTCCAGTTTAAGAACCCATTGTGGCCCTCGAGTCAAAAAGTTTGCCCACCCCTGGTAGGCCAAATACTACAGGTGTTAAGTACTCCCCAGCTTGACAAAGGCTCCCCTATAGCTCACCCCACTTAATCAGCCCTAAGCTATCCAGCTATTGTGCATATGATGTGATTTCCAGATGCCCACCCCATCCTCTTTACTCCCCTCTGGGACTACTTCAATGTGGCCCTGTGGCACCTAGTCTGGTCACTTCACCTCCTTTTTGTGTAACTCTGCATTAGAGACACTTGAGACTAACAGTTGGTAGAATGGACTATGGACCAAGACCAATCCTATGTTTAAACTCGGCTTCCACCACTTCCTAGCTGTGTCTTGCACTATTTGCTGAATCCCTCTGAGCCTCAGTTTCCCCCTGGAAAATGGGGCTAACAATGGTGCCTGCCTCATAGGGTTGTAGTAAAGTCCACTGTGTGTGTGTGTGTGTGTGTGTGTGTGTGTGTGTGTGTATGTGTGCGAAAGAGGTGAGAATAAGAATAATTTGAGGCCCTGACAGGCGGTTCAGTGGTTAGAGCATCAGCGTGCACAACGGAGGATCGTGGGTTCGATTTCTCACCAAGGGCACATATCTGGGTTTCAGGATCCATCCCCACCCCCAGTCAGGGTTCGTGTGGGAGGCAACCAATTGATGTGTCTCTCTCACATCAGTTTCTCTCTCTTCTCTCTCTCTTCTCTCTCTCTCTCTCTCTCTCTCTCTCTCTCTCTCTTCTCTCTCTCTCTCTCTCCTTCTCCCCCTCTTCCTTCCACTCTCTAAAAGAAAAGAAAAATCAATGGAAAAATCCTCAGGTGAGGATTTAAAAAAAATCATTTGGGAAAATTTTCCAAATATACGTACCCCTCGCTATCCAAACTCTTACTCTCTCAAATCAGCACTGTACCCATAATCTTCTGCTAAATTAGGATCTCTTGGGGGCTGCAGGTGGGGTCCTGTTCTATGTGAATGTAGCCTATGAAGACCTTGTGTCTTTGACAACTCCGTGTCCCCCTTTGAGGGTTCAGATGGCTCTCACTATCAGTGGACCATCCCTCAACACACACACACACACACACACACACACACACACACTACAATACTGATGCTAAATTAAGGTTCTCTTGCCCCACATTTATACTGGTCACATCTTTGCAATAATAATCCCAATTTAAACTAGACAGCCCTCTGTATCCATGGATGCTTGAACCCACGGATATGGAGGGCTCACTAAGGGATTTGAGCATCCTTGGATTTTGGTATCTGCGGAGGGTCCTGGAACCAATCTCGCCCATCCCCATACTGAGGGATGACTACTTAGCTCAGGGGGTTCTGTCAGGATTAATGTGGTGCTTGGCAACGAACAAGTGCTGGGCAAATGTAAGCTTGCTGCTCCTCCTACGATCAAACTCCCAGGTGCAAAGGACCTTGACAGCTGTTTCTATCATATCTCCTTAAGTTGCCTTAGCACTGCCTCTGCCCAGAGCTAGGTCTGCCAGCCCATTATCAAATTTGAGTTGGCCTTGTTCAGTAAACTACTGACCTGCATCACTTCTTTAGCTGAGGGCGCTGTGTACCTAGTAGGTAACCTATCAAATGGAAATGTATTGCCCAGAAAGAACACCTATTTTAAAAGTGTTTAAGACCCATTAGACAGCTGGGGCTTAACCTACTGGGACTCAGGCCAGAGCAATCTGCTGGGAGAGAAAAGCTGGGGGAAGATAAGTCCGGTTGGGGGAGCCCTGGACCCCCAGAAGGGGGTCTTTGGGCCAGTAGAGACAGATCTAAAAAGGCCACGGAGGGCGGGACTGAAAACACTGAAGGCTGGCCCTGGCTGGTTTGGCTCAGTGGATAGAGCGTTGGCCTGTGGACTGAAGGGTCCCAGGTTCAATTCCAGTCAAGGGTACTTGGGACATGCAGGAGGCAACCGATCAATGAGCCTCTCTCATCATTGATGTGTCTATCTCTCCCTCTCCCTTCCTCTCTGAAATCAATAAAAATATATAAAACAAAACAAAACAAAACAAAACAAAACAAAACACTGAAGGCTAAACTTCACTCTGAGCTCCTCTCCAAGGTCCTCTCACACATCCGCCCCCGGCTGCCTTTTCCCAGGCGGCCTGGTTAGGTGGCTGCCTTTGAAGACTGCGGTTAGAGTGTGAGCTCAGCAAGCTGCCTGGGCTGAGCAAACAGGAAGCGGGCACATCCTGTGCGCGGGCTGGGGACACGGGAGG